ACTGGGAAGAAATTAAAGTCCCTTCAGAAGGTCCTTCCCCCCAACTACAAAGTGCTGCCCATGTAGACCTTTCATCCCACCCCATCTCCTTGCATCTGCAAACAGGAAATACTTCCAAGTCACAGCGATGGAAACTCGGACTGTTTTAAAAAGGAAACATGTCCCCATAACTTTACTTGAATCAAATAAAAGATGATGACAGGCACACATTCCCTCCCACGCTGTGATACACTTCATAGCCACTGTACAGCATCAACCTAATTTTTAGACACACCAGAGAAACCCAGCATCTCCCGTACCTCGTGTTATTGCAACAAGCAGTGGACTGCGGTGGTCTGGGACAAAACCAACCATATCTCCTGGCTACGCCTGGGGGATGTTTATTCCTAAGAGGTATTCATTCCTTGAAAAAAGGTAGGGGACAGGAGGACCTAAAGCTACAGCAGTAACAGAACGCTTCTTCTCTGAATTGCTTGGAGAAAAACAGCAACAAACAATTCAGCCTCTTCCCCCCAATGTGGTACCTGTGTCGTACCATTTATAGTCTGCTCTAAACCCCTGCTGTTCGGTCATGGCTAGTCCTGTATTGGGAAGTACTCAGCGCTCACTCCCCACTCTTCCTTTGAGTGTGGCTCTTCAGTCTTTCACTCAGTGCCTTGCTGGCTAGATTTAAAGCTTTGTGCACCCCCTTCCCCCACAAGGCTGTGGGCTTGAGGAAACCTGACTGCAGCCACACTAACTGGATGTGACGTTCTTGATTCATGGTTGCCCAGAGCCTTCCAACAGGACCATGCCCCATGTCTGCTTCCTCCCCTCGGAGTTACTTGGATACTAGCCTGATACTGCTGTCAGGGGAGAGCTCATCCCCTTCAACACCATGTCAGATCGATGCCACCTCTTTTCTCTCTACTTATAAGACCAAGATTGGGGTTGTCAAGGATTTCATCTTACGCATATTCACAATACACCCTCATGGAAACAACAGTCAATAAACCAAACATTGGACAAATCTGCTGCACAAAACGTCTTTCAAGTGTTGAAGAGCAAGGGTGTCACTTCGGGGCCTAAGGGGCACCCGACCCCAGCCATGCTGCTGTCCATCATCTCATAAGCATGGGAAAGTTGGACACCGAAGAAGGAAGACAAAATACATTTCAATCACAGTGCTGGTGAAAAAATATTGAAAGTACCCCGGGTGGCCAGAAGAAGAAATCTGTCAAGGGAGAAGTAGAGTCCAAATGCTTTTGAGAAGTGAAAATGAGAAGTCTTCACATTTGGTCATGTTGTCAACAGAGACAAGTCCCTGGGAAAGGACATCAGGCTTGCGAGAGGGGGTGAGTGGTGTCAACAATGGGCTGGACCACAGCCGCAGTTGTGAGGATGGCTCATAGCTGGACTGTGTTTTGCTCTGTTGACATAAATAATAATAATGGAACCCTAAGCCAAACTCAGCCACCACGTGGATGCTGACTATGGGTGACCCTGTAGGACAGGGGAAGACTAGCTCATGACTTTCCAAGACTGTACCAGATGACGGGAGTAGAAAGCCCCATCTTTTCCCCTCAGAGTGGATGGTGGTTTCAAACTGCCGACCTTTTGGATCATAGCCTAACGCGTAACCGCTATGCAACCAGGGCTTTGATGTACATTGACTTAAGTCAGCCACCCAACAGTCACCAAC